CCAGGTGGCATCATTGATGGACTCAAGTGTGGCAGCAGTAGTGAGGTTGGCCCAGGATCGGACATTGTTTCGTTCTGCTGTACATGGGGTCGCTATGAGTCGGTTCCGACTCGATGGCACCTGACAATAACAACAACAACACCTTATTCTGAATTTGGCTTGAATTTCTAAATATCGTTGTTAATATTGCTAATTTTTTCTCCTGTCTTGTGAGCACTCTGTTCAGAGTTCAGGGACTTGGACCAAGTCCAGGTGGCCTTTATAGAAACTGTGGCTGAGGTAGGCCTCCTATACCTAGTTGTGGGCACCAAGCACAAGCCTGTGGAGTGGAAAGCACAACCTCCCTTCTCACAGGCAGCATGGTTGTTACCAATCTTTCTGAACACAGATCTGGTCTTGGAGATGGCGCTGGCTTTCCAGCTCCCAGCCTCAAGAGTTTAAAATGACTCCAGATTGATATTTATCCTGGCGTGGCACTGTAGGATAAACACTGGACTGCTAAATGCAAGGTTGTGGGTTCAAACCTACAGATGGCTCTTCAGAAATCCTATGTTGTTGTTATTAAGTGCCGTCAAATCATTTCCAACTCATAGCGATCTTGGGTTTCTGAGGAACTGTTGGTGAGCTTAAACCTCTAACCTTGCAGTTCAAATGGCTTTGCAGCCTGGTACATTAACCCATAGCGCCACACCAGGGCTCTCAGAAATCCTATACAGGGTTGCTATGAGTTGGTTTGCACACCACAGCACTTAACAACAACTGGAGAGGCCAAATATCAGCTAGGATTGTCATATGTTCTTCATCTACTCACAGGTTAGCTTCATGGAGGCTGGAGAACTTGAGGTCTTCTGTATCTTCTCTACCGTCCATCCTACCCCTACCACTGGTCCAGTTATTTCTGGATTCCCAGAGCCCCGAGGAGACAGGTGCTGCCCCCAGTTGAAGGGGCAGGCTACAGACTCTGCTAGGGCTTGGGGAAAAGGCAGTGTGGGGGGTAAATACTTTGCTCAGGTAGCTCCTCCCATTCATTCCCACAATCCCCCTTACCCTGCCCAATCAGGGGAAAGTGTCCCTTCAGATTCTCAGGCTTTGGGAGGACAAGTCCTAAGTAAAGGCTGGTTGAACATGAATGAATGGGACCCTAACAGTGGCACACAGACACCTTCCCTTTATGTTGTACAGAATAATCCCTTAGATAAATTTCAGTTTCTGGTGAGGGATTTCAAAGGTCCCAGAAGTCCTTATGTGGCGCTGTAGGATAAGCACTGGGCAGCTAAACTGTGAGTCAGTGGTTCAAGCCCATCAATTGCTCCTTGGGAACCCTATCACACTTAACAACAGCAACAGGAGTTCTCAGAATTGACTGTGTTTTTTATATTTATTTGTAGAGTCTTCCTGTCTCTAATCACATCATGCTGCTTTCCCAGAGGAGGGGCTGACTCTGGACTATTTCACTAGCGCTATCCACGGAGCTTGTAGGTTCTGGCCAGTCATTGGAAGAGGGGATCTGGACTCCTAGAGTGTACATGGAGTTTTGATTGTAGGGTACCAGCGACATCGCACCCTCTGATCCAAAGCGGATTCTGGAGTTTATGGTTCCCAGGGCCCTTTCACAGTGAGTAAGAACCAGAGGGCCTAGACAGACATCACCCTGAGTTCCTTACTGTCTTAGTGAAGCAGTTGGTATCAGCTTAAAGGGTCCTGGCTTCAGCTTCTCCTCTTGGTCCCCAAATGAGGCTTCTAGACCGCACTCCCAGAGCCCAGGAGGTGTACTGGGGAATGTTTCAGCTGTGGACCCTCTTAGCTGGCTCACAGAAAACAAGCCAGGAGGCACTAGGGGTACAGCGTTCCTGTTCCTCTCTTCTTCCCCACCTGCCCCTACCCTCAGCTTACTTCGAGACCCAATGGCCAGAGCTGGCCTGTTTTCTCCAAGTCGGAGTCCGGACCGGCACCTGGCAGGCCAACACCCAGACCCGGAGTTTCGTTAAGAAAAGCGAAGCTGTTTCAGTGAGCCAGTATATGTATGTGTCTATGCGCGCATTTCGCGCACAACTCTCTAAGAGTTGGAGCCAGAGTGTGTGCCCCTTGTGTGTAAAATGTGCCTAAGGGAGCGGAGTTCTGGTGTGGCACTGTGGGTTAGTGCACCAGAATGCAAAGCTGTTTGAACTTCAAGCTCGGTGTTTGAAGCTCAACAGCTGCTCCTAGGAAACCCTGTACAAGATCAGAAACACGCGGGGCTGCGTTTGGGTATGGCCCAGAGGTTTTGCGTTCCCACCTTATTGCCAGTGGCTGGTAAGGGCGTGTGCAACTGAGCATGTGGGAAAGTCAGTGAGGCAGAGGTTCCAGGTATGGGACTCCCAGGTATGGAGGCGGGAGTGCGAGCACCCTTGGGTCTGCACCTGGGAGTCATAACGCCTTGCAGGATGTCCCTCCGGCCTGCAGCCTCCTGCTTTCTACTGAGCTCGGGCTCCGGATCCCAGCATGCTCAGCTCTCCCGTGCTTCAGGGAAATGGGGCTGACTTTTGGGAGGAGACAGACACCTGGGCACAATCAGCTCCAGTCCCACTGTCCGGCAAAGGGGCTAGAGTTTCAGGGCAGCTGTGTAAACCTAATCTGGCACTGCAGTGGAGGGTCTGGAATTGGGTGGTTTGATCCCTCACTGTCACTGACAGGATAGTTTAGTCCCCTCCTCAGTTCTCATCCAATCTCATAGACTTGTGTCAGAGATTGCTCACCTACCAGAGGAAGCAAAACAACCTTCTCAGAGGCACATTCAAGGTAGTCCAAAAATGTTCAAGCCTCCATCGTGATCGATTTCAGCGGTGATCCCTTTATAACCCAGGACGACTGCACAACCTCTCTGGGCTCGGTTTCTAAACTCGGGTGGCCAGAGTTGGGTGAGAAACTGTTGTTAAGACACCAGGAATATGGGAGAATCGCTAATCCCGCAGGTTGGTGATGCCAAACTTCCTCTAACTTGTTCTCCCCACCTTGTGGCGCTGCAGGATAAGCACTAGACATCAAGGTTGGTTTGAACCACAAGGTCAGAGGGAGGTTGAAACTCACCAGCTGCTCCTCTGAAACCCTATACAGGGACACTGAGTCAGAATCAACTCGATGGTACTTAACAACAGCAACAACAAATCTCTTTGCTCTCTCTCCAGACCCAGTCCGTTTACCATCCCAAGCAATGACCTCAATACAGACGACATCGACAACGGGAGCCTAGGGCTCACTCCCTAGTGAGCCGGTGGTGCGGGAAGCAAGAGCAATGACGCAATCGGAGCTCGGTCGGTCCTCTGATTGGCTGGTACTGGTCACTTTGGATTGGTTGTGCGGGCTGAGGGGAACAACCCTCCCACTGTCGCTGGAATAAGAACCCCAGGCTATGCGGGGGTAGGCGCCCACAGCAGGCGTTTTGTCCATTGGAGTGGACCGGCCGCTCACACTGCCTCGAAACGCGTGTCGCCAGGTGAGCAACTTCCCACTCGGCTTACCCTAACAGCCTGCCTCTAGATTACGGCATCCAGTTTGCTCTGCCTGCCTGCCTGCCTCTCCTTTGCCTCTGCACAGCTATCTCAGTCTGACCTACTGTCAGGTGGTCCTAACCACCTTTTCTCTGGTGCTTCTGAGAAGGGGGCGGTGGGGGTGTCTCACATTTTCTCCTAACCAGTACCAGAGGACCCCGAGCCTGTGCCGTGGGCTGCGCTGGCTCAGGAACGCGGAGCTGCAGCTCTTGAGTTAGAGCGGTCCGTGCACAGGATAGGAGAAAATGCAGGAGTTGGGTCTGAGAGAGCCTTGTGTTGTCCGCAGCCCGGGGATTATTTTGGGTTCCTGGACCAGGGAAGACTTGAGCTTACCTCCGAGACACCTCCAGCCCAAGGGTGTTCTTTCTTAGGACATCAGCCCTGACCAGGGGCTGTAAGGTCCGCAGCCCCGGGCGGTGGGCTAGCCGCGAGGTGCGCGAGTCCAGCAGCATTTATGTCTAACACACGCGCTCTAGCAGAATACCAGTTGTAACTGGTCCATTAAACTTTCCCGGAATCCAAACCCAACCCGCAGATTTAGAAATCAGCGCTCCTTTCCAATCTACCTCTCTCCCTCCCTTCCTAAGTGTTGGGTGGAAGTCAAGCAGAAAGGAAGGAGGTCCTAAATTTTTCTGTTCCTGAGACATCATCAGGAGCTAATGCACAGCACGGTGGGTCTGCTGTTGGTCTCTGCATCCATCAGGCCAAAGGTGTGAGTACATGCCTTTGTATATGTCGCTTTCTCCCTTGCCTTCAACAGAGCAAAACCAGAATAGTCCCACTCCCTGGCGTGGCGCTGTAGGATAAGCACTGGACTGCTATACACAAGCTGGGCTGTTCAAACCCACCACTGCTTGGAAACCCTAAACAGGGTTACTGTAAGTCGGAACAGACTCCACTGCATTCAACAAACCCTCTTCACCAGCACACCTTTTTCTACTTCTAGAAGTCATTGCCTCAGTGTGTCTTTGTTGTTGTTGTTAAGTGCTGTTGAGTCGGTTCAGATCCATAGTGACCCTGTATAGGGTTTCTGAGGAGCCGCTGGTGGACTTGAACCACTGACCTTACGGTTCAAATGGACCTTGCAGTCCAGCGCATTAACCCACAGTTGTTGTTGTGAAGTGCCATCGAGTCGGTTCCAACCCATAGCGACCCTGTATAGGTTTTCCAAGGAGCAGCTGGTGAGCTTGAACCACTGACCTTGCAGTTCAAACGGCTTTGCTGTCTGGCGCATTAACCCACAGCACCACACCAGGACTCCTTAACCCACAGTGCCACACCAGTAATCTCTACGTGTCTTTAGAGTCAAAGCCCATTCTGCAAATTAACAGAGGCATTGGAGGCGAAGTAACCTGGCTGAGGTTATTCAACAGTTGTTGCAGAGGCGGGACTAGAATATAGGTCTGCAAGCTCACAGGCAGTGTTCCATCTGTACTTCGTAGTAACATGGCTCTGTCTTTACAGTGAGGTGCCATGGGCTTCGGGAAGTTCTCCCCATTCCTGGCTCTTAGCCTCTTGGTCCTGTGCCAAGCCGGCAACCTCCAGGCAGCACCATTCAGGTGAGACAGCCCTTCCAGGAACGCACTCCCTGGGATAAGACAATTCCACTGAGGTCACAGTGGCACATGGCTCCCAGTGACTCAGTGTCCTGGGATAGACACTGGCCTAGGGACCAATCTACCTGGGAATCAAGCTTGCATATCCATAGGGGAAATTAGAGAACCCGGAAGTCTGGTGATTTATCTAAGTGGGGAGCAGACAGGGTCTCAGAGCCTGCATTGAATTTGCTTCCTTACTCCAGGTCTGCGATAGAGAGCAGCTCTGATCCCACGGCACTCAGTGAGGAGGAAGCGCGCCTCCTGCTGGCTGCACTGTTGAAGGACTTTGTGCAGATGAAGGCCAATGAGCTGGAGCAGGAACAAGAGCTGGAGCAGGAGACTGAAGGCTCCAGGTAAGCTACAAAGAAAGTCCTACTCCAAAGGCCGCTAGGAAATGAGCTGGGAAGGTATGGAATCACTCTCTTTTAACTGGACTGGCCACACTGAGGAGACCTCCCAGCATGGGATGAGTTAGGACTGGTAAGTGTGACACCAGGGATGGACCTGTATGTCTCAGGAGCTTTCAGAGAAATTTGGCCCCACCTGGTTAACCTACATATTGGTCTTCTACACCTGCAAGGAGCCTTCACTGCACATTTGCATGGTGAAGGTGGAGGCCTTGCAGAGGGTGGGACCAGGTAGAGCAGTGTCTGAGGTAGGTCTGGGGTCTTTAGATGTGTAGGATCTACCTGCTCTCTGGGGATCATCTATTGTGATGTGCATGCTGTCACAGGACCAGAGAGAGCACCCTTCCCCACCCACCTCCCTGTGCACCCTGAGCTTACAGCAGAGACCGCCCCCACTTGGCAGCATGAATTGCACCACCATCCATCCTGAAAACAGGGGTCTCTCTGCAGACAGAGCATGAAGGGCTGAGTAGCATGTGGAATGCTGGGGAAAGACCACCCCTTCCTGACCCCAGCTCTTCCCCACACTGTCCTGCCCTGTGTACCTCAGAGTCTCCTGAGGGAAGATGTATGAGTTGCCCATCTGCCTGCCCCTCCTACCCCTGCTTGTGAGCCCTCTCAGTGTACTAACCTGCCTGAGTTCCCACAGGGCAGAGCTGGTGCATGGTACTGTTATGCATGTCTTTTCCCTGCAGCCTGAACAACCCCAGAACTAAGAGGTGTGGTAATCTGAGTACCTGCATGCTGGGCACATACTCGCAAGACCTGAACAACTTTCATACATTCTCTGGCATTGACTTCGGGCCTGAAACTCCTGGCAAGAAAAGAAACATGGCCAATGGCTTTGAGAGTGACAGCTCTTCCTACTTAGGGGTGCCCTAGGAAGCCAACTGAACTTTCCACACTCCTTCCTGACTTCCTTTCTTTCTTCCACTTATGCATTTGATGCATGTGGACCTCTCATTGACTCCTATTCAAGCTAGGACTGGTAGTTTTGCTTATGACAGAAAATGTTGGGGACCTCAGGATGGAAGGAGACCAAGTAAGACTCATAGACCAGATTCGAGATCAGAGAGAATGAGTGTGGTTTTGTGAGAGCCTAGAGGATTTTCTGGCTGAGCCCTCCAATTCCTGCTTCTGAATGTCCTACACAAGCACCTCCCTCATGGCTCATGCAGTGAATAAACCTATTTTTCTGAAAGGACCTGAGATGTGGTGGTCATTTCTCTGGCCCACATTCAAGACTTGAGGTGTTCAGTGTCTATGCTTAGAAATAGCTTGGCCTCAGTGTAACTGGACCCAGGGGGAGGGTGGTCCCTGGGAACCAACTCAAGCATTAAGAAAGGTGTGCTAAGGAGCAGGTAAGCCCTTCTGGGAGAGGAGGCTACCAACCCTGTTCTCTGAGCTACTTTCAGGTAAGACTTGAGGGGATTTTCATTTCTCTTGGAAGTTTTCTGGTGCTTGCAACTGGGGTATGGTATGTGCATATATACTCCTTGTATGTCTTGGGATGGGGCTGGATCTTTGCTGACTGCTCCTCCCTGATCCCAAAGGAACTGTGTGTACGAGACATTTCCACTCTGGTAAGTATGAGGCCAGAGGGTGGACTACAGGTTTTCAGTGTGTGCCTGTGGCTAGGAAGTGAGTTTGGGGAAGGGTTTCTAGCTAAGGTTATCAGGCGGTCTCTCCTAAAGGCTTTGATAATTGCAGTTAGGAGAAACACTAATTGTTAAGTAGTGTGTCAAAGAGCTGTGTGTGCTCTTCATGTTGATCCCATGGGGCAGGCAGGCTCCTCCTCACCAGCTTCTCACTGACAGACCTTCTCTTCTTTCTCCATCTCATAAATCAGCATCACTGCCCAGAAAAGAGGCTGCAAAACTGCCACCTGTGTGACCCACCGGCTGGCAGGCTTACTGAGCAGATCTGGGGGCATAGTGAAGAGCAACTTCGTGCCCACTGATGTGGGCTCCAATGCCTTTGGCCGGCGCCGCAGGGACCTGCAGGCTTGAGCAGCTGAGAGATTCCTGGTAAGAAGGCGACTGTCCTTGCATTCTAGGGGAATGGAAAGGAGGGACTTTGGAGGTGAAGATCTCCATCTTAAGCCCATTGGACCTGGCAAGCTCTTTAGTTCCCTTTTCTCCAATTACATTCTTCCTCCTGAGATAGAGTTCCTTCTGAAACTAAGCTTGAAATCAGAGTATTATGAGAAGCAGCAGAGATGCCCCTTCCTCTTTCTAAGAAATGAAAAAGTGCTTGCTGGATTCAGAAAGGGAAGTACCTGCAAACCTTAACAGGGGTTATTCCTCATTAATGAGTCCAAGCTCTTAAAGAACTGAATCCTTGATTAGCATTCACAGATTCAGGCCAGAGGGCCTGAGTCATTATCTATTATATGTGGTTGTTGTTAAGTGCCTTCGAGTCACTTCCGACCCATAGTGACCCTGTATAGGATTTCCAAGGAGCAGCTAGTGAGCTTGAACCGCCGACCTTGCAGTTCAAATGACTTTGCAGTCTGGTGCATTAACCTACAGTGCCACACCAGGACTCCGTATGTTATATACATACATATAATATAAAAGGAGTGTGTTGGCTCCATATGATAAACACTGAACTGCGAACCACAAGGTAGGTTGTTGGAGCCCACCAGCTGCTCTGTGTCGGGCCAAAGATCAGGCTCTTTGCTCCCATGAAGGTTTAAAGTCTCAGAAACCCTATATAGGGTTGCTATGAGCTGGAACAGACTCCATGGCACCTAACAACAACAACAAAAACAATATAATTTGAAGACTTGTTGGCACCTGTTAACCCAGAGATGACAGTTTAAACCCACCAGTTCCTCCATGGGAGAAAGATGTGGCAGGATGTTTCTATAAAGGTATATAGCTTTGAAAATCCTATTTATGTGGTGCTGGGGGTTAATGTGCCAGACTGCAAAGCCATTTGAACTGCAAGGTTGGCGGTTCAAGCTCACCCAGCTGCTCCTTGGAAACCCTAGACAGGGTCTCTATGGGTCAGTCTCTATGGGTTGGAATTGACTGTATGGCACTTAACAACAACAACAACAACTACTAACAGTTGAATTGGTTTTCCTTTCATCTGCCATGCAAAGCCTGTTTATATCTCATATCCATAATTCATTAACACTGTTTAAAAAAGCACTTCTGTTAAGTTATGTTCTGGTAATAATCATGGTTATTCTATCATTTTACCCTTCTATCTCCTCTTCTTCTTGTTTTTTGGTCCCAGGCTACTATGAAGCAGAACTCACCACTTCTATTCATTTTGTTGACAACATCTTGGTGAAAAGTCCCCATGGAAGATTGTCATTTGAAAGGAATGAAACCGAATGCAAAATAAGTGAATTCCATATTTGTTGTATATCATTTTTGTATTTGATTCTCTGTTCAGTGAATGTGATGGCATCTTTCATCAGCTTATCTAGTGGCAAAATGGGTTCTTTGAGAGCCATCCTGTTGATTTTAGCAGCTCTTTAGCTCTTTAGCAGCTCTGCCAAACCTTAGTGGGACATGAAATCACTGCCGTGGCCCCTGGGGGCATAGGGTAATGGTGATGCTGTGCCTTGTTGTCTAAGAACATGATTGTATAATTTGTTTAAGGAAATATCAATATTGTGCCATTTGTGAACTTCATCAAGATTAAAGACATATTTTGGATATATTTGGTTCAAGTCCCTGGCCTGGTGATTCACTCAATTTTTTTTCTCCCTTTATAGCAGTAAAGATAATAATAATAATTTATTGAGTGTGCCAATGATTTTCTGAGGTACTTTGTACCTTTTAATCCGTTTAAGTTTTACAACAACCTCAGAGGGTAGACACTGCTGTTATTTCCATTTAACATTCGAAGAAACTGAGGCATAGGGAAGTGAAATCATAGGTCACACTGATAGGTGGGAGCAGGGCCAGTACATGGACCAGGAAGGTCTGCTTCCAGAGTGTACAGTGACAATTCTGCCCGATAAACTTCTCAACAGAGGGTCCTGATGCTTCCCACCCACCTACGAGCCATTCTTGGAACTAGATGCATCATGTGCTAGGCTGTCAGATTTTAGAGACACCTGGAAAATTATATACATTCAAGCAACTTAGTATTTATGGAATACAATGAACCACTTATGCCCCTTACTTGACTTCTATCATGATCAGTGTATGAGCAATGTTGTTAAACTTCTACCTCCATATACCCTCTCTCCTCACACATCAACACATCTGTAAATATTTCACCGTGTATTCTAAACGGGAAAGGTTCTTTCAGAGTAAAAATAATATTTAAAATACATAAGATACTGGCCAACCTACTGGAAAAGACCCATATTTGTGCCCATTCCAAAGAAAGGTGACCCCACAGAACATAGAAACTATCAACCAATATCATTAATAGCACATACAGCAATGTTTTGCTGAAGATAATTAAAAAACAGTTGCAATGGTACATCTACAGGAAGTTACCAGAAATCCAAACCTGCCTCAGAAGGAGATGTGGAATGTGGGATATTATTGTTGACATCAGATGGATCTTGGCTGAAAGAGAATATCAGAAAGATGTCTATTTGTGTTTTATTGAATAGCCAAAGGGATTTGACTGTATGGAATATAACAAACTGGACACCATTGTGAAGATCACTTAATTGTACTCATGTGGAACATAGACCAAGAGGCATGTCCATCAGTATTGAACCAAAAAAAAACACAAAAAAACAAAAACAACCCGGCGCCTCCGCACACCAGGGCGCCTCCGCACACCAGGGCTCGTTTAGAGATTTTTTTATTCTGGGTGAAGACGAGCAGGTAGACTTCCGCCCGACAGCGAAAGCAGAAGAAAAGGAAGTGAGATCAACAGGAAGGGAGTGGTCTTATATAGATTCAAATCAGGAGCTCACACGGCATTGCTGGAGTGATTTAGCCTATCAAAAGCCATGTTGCATATTAAACCACGCCCCTTGCAGCTTAGTTTGGCGGAGAAAGAGACAAAATGGAGCCCAAGGGAAGGGAGGGGAAGAACCCGGAAGGTATTGTAACAGTATCCTTTTACAAAATTTGTTCTATCTGTATGTTGAGTAAACAGAAGCTGGAGGAAGGCTTATTAACAACCTGTGATATGCAGATGACATAACATTGCTTGTGGAAAGGGAAGAGGACTTGAAGCATTTGCTGATGAATATCAAAGAATATAATCTTAAATAGGGATTATTTAAAAAATCCTCACAACTGCACCAACAAACATTATAAGAAATGGAGAAAAGATTGAAATTGTCAGGCATTTCATTTTGCTTGGATCCACAATCAATGCTTATGAAAGCAACAGTCAAGAAATCAGATGAGGTATGACAGTGAGCAAATCTGTCACAAAGACCTCTTTAAAGTGTTAAAGAGCAAAGATGTTACTTTGAAGACTTAAGGTGCACCTGACCCAAGCCATGGCATTTCCAACTGCCTCATATGTATGTGAAAGTTGGACAATGAATAAGGAAGACCATAGAAGAATTGCTGCATTCATATTATGGTACTGAGGAAGCATATTCAAAGTACCACACACTGCCAGAAGAGCAAACAAATCTGTTTTGGAAGAAGTACAGTTAGAATGTTCCTTAGAAGTGAGGATGAGAAGACTTTGTCTCGCATACTTTGAACATGTTTTTAGAAGGAAGTAGTCCCTGGAGCCCTGGTGTGGCACTGTAAGATAAGCACTGGACTACAAGGTTATTTTGAACTGAAAATTCAGTGGTTCAAACTCACTAGCTGCCCCTCAGAAACCCTATACCAGGATGTTATGAGTCAGAACCAACTTGATGGCATTTAACAACAACAACAAGTCCGTGTAAAAGGACATCCTGTGTGGTGTAAAGTAGAGGACTATCAAAGATCAAGACTCCTAAGGAGATGGGTTGACACAGTGCTTGCAGAATGGGCTCAAACAATTGTAAGTATGGCACTGACCAGGCAGTGTTTTGTTCTATTATGCTTGGAGTTGCTCTGAGTCGGTGCTGACTAGAGGATTCCTAACAACAACAACAACAACTATTTATGTGTTGGACAGACTAGATTTTTCTGTTTTTAGAGTTTCCTAATTTCTGGATTCTGATCATTTTATTGCTGTGATAAGATTTGACACACTCCTGTATCTTCGGTATTTCTTATGAATTGGCTATAAGTAAGGAGGAAGAGAAGTCAGAGATGAGGTAGACAAGTAGGAGATGGGGAGGACAGATCATGTAGGAATTTGTAGGATATATGAAAGACTTTGGGTTAATCACTCAAGTTCTAGTCAGGAAAACAGAAACTACATCAGGAATTTGAACAGAAAGAATTTACTATAAGCAATCAACTAAACGATTATAGGAGTACTGAAAAGTCAGAGAACAAGGGGTAGACTAAGATAGAAACCATGGTAAGCATCTACCATCTGTAGGGCTAGGGGAACAAAGGAAAGAGGTGGGGTGACTATGACCTAAAAACTTGGAGAAGGCTTTGAAAATTCCTGAGAAGGGGGTCAGTTGATGCTGGTCTCTTCCAGGGGGCTCAACAGGGCTAGTCTAGGAAACTCAAACTTATATTCCAATTTCACTGCCAGAGTAAAGAGACAGTGTAGTAGGCACCATTGAAAGAAACTAATGCCAGAATCGGAAGGATCAAGTCTCTACTTCTTGCCTTCTTGTTTACATTTTGCTCTCCTAATTGGCAGGGCCTAATTGGGTGGTTGCCTATGAATGTAAAGAAAACAAAAATCCTTACCACTGGACCAATAAACAACAATTCTTATCAATGGAGAAAAGATTGAAGTTGTCAAGGACTTCATTCTTCTTGGCTCAACTATCAACACTCATGGAAGCAGCAGTGAAGAAATCAGTCTGCTGCACAAGACATTTTTAAAGTGTTGAAGAGCAAAGATGTCAGCTTGAGGACTAAGGTGTGCCTGACCCAAACCATAATATTTTCAATAACCTCATATGGATGCAAAAGCTGGACAGTGAATAAGGAAGATCATAGAA